TTCTGGGTCAAGTGTTACGAGCTGACTCAAAGGCTAAGATAACCATGTGGGCAATCAATCAAACAGATGCACACGATAATCTCAATAAAAATTCTGAGCTTTCCAGTAGCTTGGCAGTCACACCCACCAACGGCCCCCGCCCCGCCATATAATCTCATCAATGGGGCACCAAATAATCTTATCAAGAGCCAAGCTCCAGAGACTGAAAAAAAGCTTCTGGAAGAGAGTGACATAGAACATCCTGACCAGGCGTTCTGGCCAGGCTGTCTTCACTAGGGCAACTCAGAGGGGGGCGGGTTGAGTTTCCTTCCCCATCCCAGCAGAACCCAGGCAGCAGAAAACCTCCAGAACTCAAGCGCAGTCAAGCTCAAGGCCAATTTCCACAGACTCAGACAAGCCTCACCCATGAGAGAACCTGCAGAAAAACCAAGGTATGCTGGACCCGTTACTAAAATCTCCAGGCTCGCTCAAAGTGGGACTGGGCCTCCTCCTCCCAGCTTCAACATTTTCCAGTAGCTTGGCAATCACACCCACACACTGTCCTGGCACCATATAATCTCATCAACAGCCAAGGAGAGAGCAACATGGGCCTTACCGATGAATCAATCTGCTCTATAATAATATTCTAAATTTCAGAATTTCTGGAGCTCATACTCTAACCCACTGATGTACCAAAGAAGCACACTTTTTTTATCTTTTTTGGTTTAACATACATGTTTGTAATCTCTTATAAAAGGACTTAAATGGCTCCAGGATGAATACAACAATCTTCACACACTTTCCTCTTATGGTGGTGGGATTGATGTTTGAATATTAAATGTAATGAATTATTGTGACCAACTATATAAAAATAAAATTAAATTTTAAAAAATGCAAGTACTAAGGCCCATGTAAGATTCCAAGGTTGGTAATACCCTATACATCACACACATATCATTGTCAGAAAGATAATTTGTCTTGAGGACAATAGAATCCATATCTGGAATCCTTTAGGTTCTCCCCTATGCATTTCTTCTTTTCCTCAATTATAACCTTTATTCTTTAACTATAATAAATAGTAATCATAAATATAGTTGTTTTCAGTGGGTTCCGTGAGCTCTTCTAGAGAATTATCAAACTTAAGAGTGGGTTTAAGAACTCACCCAAAATTTCAGTTGGTATCAAAAAAGAGAATTTTTTAAATCCTCCCAGACTTCACAATTGGTCTAATTTCTTTCTATTATACCCTAAATTTCTTTCTATTATACTGCACCTATCTGACCTATGAGAAAATTCTGCTGGCCCCTTTCTAAAAACATAGGCAGATTCCAATCATTACTCCTACCATATGTTTTATCAAGGTTATCACGTTATCACACACTTCTGCAAGATCTAGTTTCTAACCTTACCCCATAAAGTTAATTCACAAAATACCTTCCAGAGATATCCTTTTAACAACTGTCAGACTGCGGGGCTGGAGCCATTGCGCAGCGGTAGGGCTTTTGCTTTGCACACGGCCAACCCAGGTTCGATTCCCAGCATCCCATATGGTCCCCCGAGCACTGCCAGGAGTAATTCCTGAGTGCAGAGCCAGAAGTAACCCCTGAGCATCGACAGGTGTGGCCCCAAAAGCAAAAAAAAACAAAAAAAAATTGTCAGATTGCATTACTCAATGGCACACACCCCACCTTAACAGTCTCATCTTCTTCAGAAAAATTCTGTCTCCCTTTCTTCTCTTCCTCTTTTATATTCCCTTCTTCCCCTTTTCCTTATAAGCCTTCCCCACTGCTGTGCCAGATCAAATCCAAGTTCACATGAGGCAAAGCATGCACTCTACTACTAGGTGACATCATAGTCCCTACCTCAGGGCTTTTCACCTCCTCTTTTCTCTGACTAAACCATTCATTCACCCACATATATTAATAGCAACCTTACCTTGTTTTATTTTTTTTTTCATGCTTACTTTCTTCATATGTCTTCTCAAACATTATATTCTCAGCAGTAAGTGTAATTTCACAGTCCAACACAACCTATTTTAGGTTTCCTTTCTTTTCTTCTCCTAAAAGTATGTTCCATGAGAAAAAGTTTCCTTTTTTTAAAAAAAAAAAAATCACACCTGGCAATGAACAGGGGTTACTCCTGGCTCTGCACTAGGGAATCACTCCTGACGGTGCTTGGGGGACCATATGGGATGCTGGGAATTGAACCCAGGTCAGCCACGTGCAAGCCAAATGTCCTACCCGCTGTGCTATCACTCCAGCCCCAAAAGTTTCTTTTCTATTAAGAATTATTTCAAAAGCATCTTGTATGGTATTGTTGACATATTAGGTACACAAAATATATTTAGAAAATAAGTTAATGTTGTATTGTTCAAACTGGCTGATCAAATGGTCACTTCCTGTTATTACTGAATTAGTGAGAAACTAATTTTTAACGTACTGTTAAGTATCATCAAGAGAAACACTGATCTATGATACAAGTAAAAGCTTATTAGAACTGTATAAAACTTAGTCCATAAAAGTTATTTATAAGTGTCTAAAGTTAATAGGGGTCTCTATTTTTCATTAAAACAACAAATTGTAAAATAAATTTAAAAATTCTTTTTGGCTGCTAAAGTTTGGTGACTATCAGTCATGTTCTAAATTAGGACTGCGAAGTACTACACGTACATAATGCTTTACTGGAATACAGTCACTAGAGTCACTTGCTCTTGTTCTTGGACCGCCCATGACTATTTTATAGCTATTTGAGAACAGCTGAATGGTCGGTTCAGAAATCTTATGTACCTCAAAACTGAAATATTTACTATCCACCCTTTAAGAAAAGCTAACTGATCTCTAGACTTGCTTGATAATTTAGGTTTACAGATGATGAATCTCCACAGTATAAAGGACATTGAAATAAATAGATCTGGTTTTATAAAACCAAGAGGCACTTTTAAAATATGCTGGAAAATGATCAAAGGTAACAGAAAGATGGTCTACAGAACTGAGCTTCCCTGAGAAAAGGAGGAGAGAGGGCCTGGGACACTGATGGAGAGAAGCAGGCACACTGGTGGTGGGAGGAGGGATGCTGGGACAAGACATGCATGAAACTATCACTAATAGTATTTTAAATCATGACACTGCAATAAAAATCATTCCTAAAATTCTAATAACAAATCAAAGTAAAGGATAGGGATTGTTTTCTCACTAGAAAAGCTGATTTGTAACAATATATCCCTGGATCTCATTGCATATTTTGGTTTGTGTGTTTCTGGCTTGCAAATTGTCTTTTTTTGTCATATGTAAAATAAACTTTCACTAATCATTACTATTATTACTATACATATATACCAGTAATATATGTATACATGCATATGTATTAATGGGATATACATACATATCCTGGCAAGCTCCTCGTGATGTATCCGATATGCCAAACACAGTAACAACAAGTCTCACAATGTTACTGGGCCCGCTCGAGCAAATTGATGAACAACGGGAGGACAGTGACAGTGGCAGTGACATATATGTTCAGTATTTCTTTCAGTATGTATTTTCTTTGTAATACACCAGAAGGAAAATTGGGACTATGCATTGACAAAGAACATGAGAATTCTGAAAACTTTGAGTTACTGATGAGTTTTTTTTCTTATAAAATTGTTTATTTGGGTCCCACACCTGGTGGTGCTCAGGATTTATTCCTGACTCTGCACTTGGGGATCACTTCTTGCAACTTGGAGGTCAGTTGTGGTGCCAGGGACTGAACCCAGGTCAGGTGTGTCAAGGCAAGCACCCTACCAGCAGTAGTATTTCCCTAACTCTACTGGCCAGTTTTAATTAGAATAATTAGAATTTCTGACTAATCTTAATCCCATAGCAAATTACATTCAGCAACTAATTGCTGGTGCCAGAGATTTAACTCAGAGTTAGTAAAGGTTGAACGTTAAGCGAAGGTTCAATTGCCATCACCATGCACAAAAATCTTTTAAGTTTATTTAAATTTATGAGACCAAATTAATAACAGTAGAAATTTTAAAAACTAGAACCTCCATATATTCCCTACCATGAAAATAAAGAATCAAGAACTACATTTAAAAAGATAAATATACTCCACTATAGTGGTATGTTTCTTTACACATTAAAAAAAAAATTAAAGGTATAAAGAAATGTATGAAATTTCATTGATGATATAAGTATAAAATCTTAAGAATTAAGAAAGGAACTCAATGACAAAGCATCAAAGATTTTATTCCTGATGGGTAAAATTCAAAAATAATACACAAGAATTTTTATCAATGTGTTATTAACTAAAACAGAACAATTTCAAGTATCATAGATGCAAAAATCATAACTGTCCATTTGGTCATCACTAAAAATAGCCAAATACATAAAACACAAACACCATATAACATACAATTCACACGAAATATAACTATACCTGCGTAAAATTACAGTATAGAAAGATATATATAAGTTGAGGGATGTTCTAAATGCATTTGTACAAATAGAAAAATGTCAAAAGAACAGCAGAGACAATAAGTTAGTGGTAATTATTTACTGGTGTTATAAAAGATGATTTGGGGGCTGGAGACCTGGTCTAGCAATTAGGACCCATGCTTTGCATGTGGCTGACCAGTCTTATCCCCACCACGATATAGTCCCCCAAGTACCTCAGGGCTCTGCCCATGAGACACCCTCAACAGCTCTGCCAGGTGTGGTCCTAGAACACCACTGGAGTGGCCTGGGTAATCCCCAGCACAGCACAGTCCCACAGCACCATATTCTTGTGCTCCAGCATTGAACCACTGGCCTGGCTGGTGGAGAAGTGCTGGGAGGGAGCCCTGGGGCTTCATGAGAACCTCTTAGAAGACAATAAATAAATAAGTAAATAAATAAATAGCAGCTTATTCCTTATACATTTTGGTTCGCCATCAACCCCACTCCATTCCCAGAAATTCTTTAATGAGTTTTTTTTTCATTATTATTAAAATAATACAATCTACATTTTTGGCGTATGCAGTGTGGAATCAGACTTACCCAACTAAAAGAAGAAGTGCACAAATCACCGCAAATCCCAAAGTATACTTGAGTGCTGTTTTAATTTGCTAGATATCAAAAGGAAAAAGTACATCATTTAGCAAGCCCTTTAAAATACAGCATAGTCATGCTAACAAATGTACATTTATATTCAACACCGCAAAGCTTCTTTCTTCAAAAAAGACTAGATTTATAGAAAAACAATGCACATGTTGAACAACCCTGAAAATTACACTAGATCTTAATTTTTTTCAATGATAAGAATTCCTGAAAAGTAGCATTCTAATGCATAATTAATCCTGTTCATATATAGTAAGTTATCAGAATAATTAATATGATATTCTCCCAACAGGGGAGCAAGCAGAATGAACAATATCTTCTATTTCTATTTACCAAAATAGATTCATATAAGAACTGTTATAACATTTAATATACGCATGTTATATGAGATGTATTATATGCATTACTTATTTCTACATATATACTACATAAGTAGCAATAGATTTCTACATATGTACTACTATGTAGAAATATATAAATCACAAATATATCTATAAAACATATCATGTCAAGGCTGCTCTAGTCTTTAAATATGTTTTTCTCTTGCTAACTGATTACTACTCTCAGAATCATTTAAAGTATTGGTGATGTGCTTGTGCCTCATCTTAACACAAGTGACTTAAAGGTTTCGAGGAAAAATGCCCAATTTCCACAAATATTTTCCCACATAAAATTTGCTTTGCCTACAAAATTTTTATGCAAATGTGCTGATTCTTAACCACCGAAGTAATCTAGAGCGAGACCTGACTATATTAGTGCATTTTAAGATATCCAGGAATTCAATTTGCTAATATTTAAAACTTCTTTATAACAACAGAAGTAACACTGTTCTGTAGTTTTGGACATTCACGTATGCGGTATTTGGGGATTAATAAAATATCCAAGTATTCTTTCTTTATGCATGACAAAAGAGTTCTGCAATATGTGGGCTAGCTATTTCATTAGGTCACAGCATGCTCAATAAGTACTGACTCCAGCTACATTTTATCCTGTAACTTGCAAAGCTAAATAGCTGCAGCAGAAAGTATGTCCTGAAAAATCTAACATATCTCATTCCTGGCATTTTATAGAAAAATTTTCCAATGCATACTCTACAATTTTAGTAAAATTCTATAAATGCTCCGAAGTTAGAATCAATACATCCCTCTAGAACTCCTGAAATCCAGAAACATGGTTAGTTCAAACTGCAATGTGTTTTAGTTATAACACATACTCTAAATTACAGACAAGCTGAAAAAGGCTCATACCCCATTAATTATGTTTTGACTCTATTTTAAATATTTAGAATATGTTACATTTATAGTATGTAATATATTAGGATATATTACATATATGCAAATCCAATGTATCACTTAAAATAATTTTACTCTTTCCTTTTAGTTATATAACTGTGGCTACAGGAAAATTAAAAATTTCCTAAGGGGCTCATAATCTATTTCCATAAAATACACTCCATAATAAATTCAAACAAGTCATATCATTCCCTAAAAAAGGAGGTAAGAATTTTTTTTTTCTTTTTGGGTTACATCCAGTGATGCTCAGAGATTACCCCGGCTCTGTAATTACTCCTGGCTATGTTTGGGGGACCATATGGGATGCTGGGGATTGAACTGTGGGTCAGCTGCGTGTAAGGCAAGTACCCTACTCGCTGTACTATAGCTCCGGACCTGGAAGTAAGAACTTTTCCCCCTAAATTGAGTTCATTAGAATAAAAACTTACAGTGCATTTACTGCTATCATCATCATCCTTTTCTTCATAGTAGAAGTAAACAAAAGGGATCCAGAAGAAAACACAGAAGAGTATAACAGAATATAAGGCTGTGGAAATAAATATTAAAGTAAGTTTTATTAAATAAATACAATCAATGCATCTGCATATGTTTATATTTATGCATGCATATAAACACATAATTTGTTTACACAGAAAATGTATTCCCCCATCTGATTCCTCATATGAGTAACTGTTTATATATGAAATCCAAATCAAAACTCTTTTTGTCCACTTGTTCCCGCCCCACTCCCCTGTCAAGTAAAACTAATAGACCTTCCATAAGGTACATGAAGGAAAGCGTAGGCAGAACCCTCCATGACACGGAAGCTAAAAACATCTTTAAAAATGAAGCACCACTGACCAAGCAAGTGGAAACAAACATAAATAAGTGGGACTGCACGAAACTGAGAAGCTTCTGCACCTCAAAGGAAACAATGACCAAAATACAGAGAGTCCACGGAATGGAAAAGAATATTTACCCAATGCCCATCTAATAAGAAACCAGTAGAACTGTACGAGAAAAAAGCCTCGAACCCCATCAAAAATGAGGAGAAGAAATGAACAGAAGCGTCCTCAAAAAAGAAATACAAATGGCCAAAGGCACACGAAAAAATGTTCTATATCGCTAATCATCAGGGAGACGCAAATCATCAAAACAACAATGAGGTATCATCTCACACCACAGAGACTGGCACATCAAAAAGAGAACAACCAGTGCTGGCACAGACATGGGGAGAAAGGGAGCCTTTTTCATTGTTGGTGGGAATGCTGACTGGTCCAGCCTTTTTGGAGAACAATATGAGCATTCCTTTAAAAACTAGAAACTGAGCTTCCATATGATCCTGCAGTACCACTTCTGGGAATATACCCCGAGGGTACAAAAAAGCATAGTAGAAATGATGGCTGTACTTATACATTCATTACAGCACTGTTCATAATAGGCAGAATCTGGAAACAACCCAAGTGCCTGAGAACAGACAACTGGTTAAAGAAACGCTGATACATCTACACAATGGCATACTATGCAGTTGCTAGGAAAGATGAAGTCATGAAATTTGTTTATAAGTGGATGGTCATGGAGTGCATCATGCAAAGTGAAATGAGCCAGAAAGAGAGGGATGGACACAGAAGGACTGCACTCATTTGTGGAATATAAAATAATACACTATGAGACTGACACCCAAGGATAGTAGACACAAGGGCCAGGAATAATGCTCCATAGTTGGAAGCCTGCTTCATGAGCTGGGTGAGAAAGCAGCTGGAATAGAGAAGGGATCACTAAGTCAATGATGGTTGGAGGGATCGTTAGGGATGGGAGATGAGTGCTGAAAGTAGATAAAAGACCAAACATAATAGCCTCTCAGTATCTATTTGCAAACCATATTGCCCAAAAGTAGAGAGAGAGTATGGAGGAAATTGTCTGCCACAGAGGCAGGGGGAGGTTTGGGATGGGGAGGTGGGGATTACTGGGGACACTGGTGGTGGAAATGTGCTCTGGTAGAGGGATAGGTATTGGATCATTGTATGACTGTAACACTAACACGCCCTACCGCTGTGCTATTGCTCCAGTCCAAGACTGATACGAGCAAGTGAAAAAATAAAGACTTTGTTTATTAAACCCCCAAATATAAAACATTAAGAAAAAACACGAAAACATCATGTCCACAGACACTGGTAAGAATCAGTCATAAAACAAGTTATTTTTTTCAAACAACTTATCAACTACAAGAAAGAACAAATGAATAAAAAGCGATCAAAGTATGAGCAAAAACTACAGAACAAAATATACAATCATTTTACAAATTTTTTGAATTGTAATTTATACAAAGCACATTTGTTAAAAATTCACATAAATCATATATTTTTAAAATTTTCTGATTACAATTACAATTACAATGTGAAAATTAACTTGTATACATAAGGCATTTGGATTTCCAAGCATTCTTTATTTCTCCTAAATACAATGGGAAATAGTTAACTTTTAAAAACAAAACACTATGATAGAGAGTAATTTAGACAACACTGTGATCAACCATTACTAGCCTAGTTTCAAATAGTCAGAGTATAAGAATATTCTGGGAAATCTAAAAGCCTTCTAAAATTATCCCATTTACCTAGCCAAAGACATACAGGGTCAAAACTGATAACTATTCATTCAATACTCATTTTCCTTATATCTTTTTCTTGTTGCATAGGGAGGTGGAAACATAGGAGGTAAAGTTAAACCTGGGTTTTCAAACCCAGGCTTTTTCTCCCTTCCCTCATAGAGGAAACTGAACACATGCCTCTAGCCTGACGGACACTCTCCTCAGTTTACCTTAAAAGGACTAGACACTAGGACAGAGATATAGATAGTACAGTGGGTAGGGCACCTACCTTGCACTTGGCCTACCTAGCTCAATTCCCACACCACATACGGTCACCCAAGCATGGCCAGGAGTGATGGAGTCAACTCTACACAGCTGGGTATGGTATACAAGCCTACTGCCACCCTGCTCCCCTCTCCCTGGGACTCCAGGTCAGAGCCTGGCTGCCCCGGGATCAGCAAACTATAAAAGCCTACTAAAAAATTACCACTTTGAGAAACCCACATTGCTGCCTTCCATATCAGTCCGGATTTCTCTCTCTAGAGATTTTGTTTCGCTCATGCCTTGGAAAATAAGCCAGCTTTCGACGGCCACTGCACTGCAGGTTAACTTCTCTCACGTAACAGAGCAAGAGACCACCAGCCATGAGAATGTTACCACTAACAATAACAGCCCTTTCCCAGCAAAGCGCCCAAGCATTTTTTATAAAAACACAAGTTAAATGTTTACTTGATGATAAAATTTTAGAAACATTTAGGTTGTCTTATAAAGCTTTTTATAGTACAGCACTACAAAGTAGAAAAGAAGAGGAGGAAACAAGGGTTCACTGAACCCCAATCCCAATGAAAATGCTCTTTACAGTGTACTACAGTTGATACCACAAACTCTACAGAGAAGACACTCTAACTAGAATCCTTAATGAGGGGGGAAAAAAACTGAAAACGGAGACCTAAATCAAAAGCACAAGCTAAAAATTAACTGTAATAGAAAAAGACCCAAGATTTCATACCACAATGATATGCTAATGACCCTAAGTGAAACCAGTAGGTTAAATAACTTTCAGCATTATGAGAATAAAGGTATTTGTAGGCTTGGTGACAGAAGCTGTCCTGCCATCTGAAATGTGAGAAAAAATAATTTAAGTTTTTACATAGCTTTATTCTACTTTTTTAGCTGACAGCTCAGAAAGGAAATGAAATTGAGTAAAATACTTACTGTAGTAGCCATATAATACAGTATCCTCAATCTGTTTGCTAACATTGGCATTAGCCCAGTCCTAGGATTGAAAACGAAAAAAGCAGACATGTAAATGCAACATTCATTTAATTAAAAATAAAAATACGAGGGCTTAATATAATGGAATATCACTTACAAATTTATAATTAATTCATACACATATGGTTTGTATTTCAAAAAAAGTGAGTCACAGAAGCCAGAGAGATAGTACACTGGGTAGGGCATTTGCCTTGCACATGGCTAACCCAGTTGGATCCCTGGCATTCCATATGGCCCCCTGAGTGAAGTGATTCCTGAATTCAGAGTCCAACTGTAAATCCTAAGCACAGTCGGGTGTGGCCCATAAACAAACAGGCAAAAAAAAAAAAAGTGAGAGATCAATTAATAAATTTCACTAAGAAGATAGCACAGCAGGTTGGGCATTTGCCTTGCACACAGTCGACCCGGGTTCAATTCTTCCATCCCTCTCGGAGAGCCCGGCAAGCTACCAAGAATATCACGTCTGCACAGCAGAGCCTGACAAGCTCCCTGTGGCGTATTCGATATGCCAAAAACAGTAACAACAAGTCTCACAATGGAGATGTTACTGGTGCCCGCTCGAGCAAATCGATGAACAATGGGAGGACAGTGACAGTGAAGAAGATGACACAGTTTGGAGAAGCAAGCCCACAGGAGATATCTAACTCAGACTAACTGAAGATTAGGGAAATTTTTCCAAAAATACTGTAAACTAGGATCTAAAGGAAGAAAGGTCGTTCATAGGGAAGAGGAGAAAACAGCAGAGAGGAGATAAAGAAATGCTTATCAAGTTACATAAACAATTTAGGGGGGGAAAAAAAAAACCCTGCAAGAAGCTAAATACAGATTTGCTAAATTTTAGAAAGGTAAAAGAAACTAGGAGTGAGAGCTTATGAGTTACACAAAGTATTTGGGATTTTGTCCAAAGGACAACAGAAAACAATGATAAATTTGTCTTAAAGAATGACAGATACGATTTATTTTTGAATGAAGGTATTTGAGCATAAGATACATTTTTCAAAATACTTAAAATAGCATAAATTCTGGAACCAAAGAGATAGTACAGCGGGTAGGCTGCTTGCCTTGCTGCAGCCAATCCACATTTGACCCTTGGCATCCCTTCCCTGAGCACTGCCAGCAATAATGCCTGAGTGTAGGGCTGGGAGTAAGCCCTGAACACTGCTAGGTGTGGCCCAAAAAAACAAACAAAACATAGTGTGAATTATTTTACATTATCCCACGCAAGTATTTAAATTACAGAGGTTAGGAAACATAATTTAAATCTTTTTTAAAAGAATCATACAAATGAAGCCAATCTGGCAACTAATGGCAAGTTTTTTTGTTGAATATCCTAAATGTTCTGCATACATAAATAAAATCAAACTTGGACAATCTAAATGACAGATCATTCTATTAAGTAACAAAGGTCTAATTAATCCAGGTCAGGTCTTTTCTACAAACACTTTAAGAAATTAAGTCAGTAACAGAAGTCCTGACTCTTAGGAAAAATTCAGCATTTAATTTTTCTAAAAAATGTACACTTTTTAGTATTTTCATATTACTCTCTAAACAGCACCTGCAACAGACATCTATGAATTTACTGACAAATGCCTTAACAGAAAAAAAATGTGAAAAATCTTTTTTTTTTTTTTGGTAGTTCTACTAGCAGTTCTCAGGGCTTGCTCCTGGTTTTATGCTTAGGGATCACTTCTAGAGTGGTTTAGGGGACCATATGCAGAGCCAGGGATGCAACCTGGGTCAGAGCATGGGTATCTGTCTCTACCAGGACTTTTGGCAGCTTAATCCCTGTACTATATCTTTCATCCCTCTACCAGCTGAGTGAGGGGGAAACAGAAAAGTTGAAACCAATAGATTTTGTGCATGAAATTTTTGTCTAAAAATATGTTAGGAAATAAACACCCATATACATAAAGGGGAAAGAATATATATCGTGCTTACCATATGTTAATAGGAGCACTGAACTGTCCTCCCATTGTTCATCGATTTGCTACTTCTCTATATATAAAATGTCCAGAGTATGTCTGTGTTTGTGTGTGTGTGTGTGTGTGTGTGTGTGTGCGCGCGCATCCCCTAGTGAATGAAAAGTCTAGAACCAGACTGCAGAGCTTCAAATCCCATCTCCAGCACTCACTAGTTGAAAAGACCTTAGGTAAGTTACTTCACCTTTCTGAATCTTGGTTTATTGCCTTTTAAAATCCTGTTTAAAACTTAACTACTTCATAGGAGCATTTGGGGAAAAGGGATTTAATGTACGTACATGATTTAGAGCAGAGTATGATATATACTAATTATTCAACAGCTAATATCTTCATACAGTTTCTCACAAACTAAGAGCTCCATTAATTCTTGCATAATTAATGACTTAGCCACATAAAATAAATGTAGCTTTACAGTAATCACAATATACCTAAACTTAACTACAAAAATATTGTCAAATTACTTAAGCCCAGTTGGCCCAGTTCAGGATCTTATTTGGAAACCACGCACTACTAAGGTAACTGAAATAATATTTTATTCTGTTTTTAGGACCTACTACACATTACATATGGGAGAAAAAAAATAGATCTTCCCTCAGAGGAGCTCAGCTAATAAATGTAAAATAAATTTCCATAAACAAAAACTCAGAAATATTTAAGCTCAAGAGCTTCATTTTCAGAAAGAAGAACTTGAGCCAGGAATATGCCTAGCATGTGTGGGAGCCGAGGTTCAACCTCTAGTACCAGATGAGGCACATAATATAACACAAATATAATTAGTAAATAAAACTAAGGAATTTGAGGTCCAGAAAAGGTAATACACTTGGTCAAATATCCATGCTAGACAGTTACAGATTGTATACATCCCATCATTTTTCTCCCTCGCTATCTAGTACATTGACTGAAAATCCCCAATATTTAAGATCCTAATGGAAAGTTAATGAAAGCTCTTCTCACTATTTACTAAGTTAGGGAAAATCAAGTAAAACTTCATGGAAGCTATCAGAGGCACAAAAATAAAACCTATCATGACTAATATATTTTCAGATTAATAAATGTCATTCTTCATATCTGGCAAAACATGTTGGTTAATAGTCTGTTTATAGTATAATTTGCTTTATTTTCATTCTCTTTTCTTCCCAAGGAACAAAACAAAACACAATATATATACTGGACTGCTAATACTTAGTTACCAAGCCAGAGAGCATAGTACAGAGGTTAAAGAGGACACCTTCCACGCAGCGCATCTCTGTTCAAACCCTGGCACCACAATGCGACTGGAACAATGCAAGTTATAACATAAAGGCCTTGGGTATGGTGCAGTATCAGTGGGTGGTCCAGATAGCATCTTTGAATTGAACCATCATGTCAGTTGGCCAAGAATTTCCATGAGGTACCCCTGGGCCTCCTGAATACCATTTAGAAAAGTTGTTCGACACCCCGCCCCCTCAAAACTACCACAACTTTGAAAGAAAAAATATGATAATTACCTTAAATGTACCATTTTGATTTTTCATATATGACACCAAAAATATATCAACTGGTAGAAGTGCCGATGTAATAAGTGCAATTGCCAGAGAGAAAATTGCCGTTATAGTGGAGACAACTTCACTTTCTCGCTGACTCTGGTATTTGCGAACATAAATCCAGCAGAATGCCAAAATAGCCTGAAACAAAACAAAAAGAAATGTTCTGTTACTGTCCTGTTACTATTCTATAAAACCATTTTTTTTTGAGTCACTATGAGAAACAGTTACAAAGCTGATCATGGCTTTAGGTTTTAGTCATACAGTGTTCTAACACCCTTCCCTTCACCAGTGTGTACATTTCCACCACCAATGTCCCCAGTTTTTCCTCCGATACCCTCCCAGCCTGTCTCCACAGAAGTCTCTCCTCCCTTCTCTGTCTCTCTCTCTCTCTCTCTCTGTGTCTCTCTCTCTCTCCCACCCTCCCCCACCCTCCCTCCCCCTCTATCCCCCCCCTCTCTTTCTTCTGCCTCCCTTCACTACCCCCACCCCTTTGGGGTATTATGGTTTGCAATACAGGCACTGAGAAGTAATCATGTTTGTTCCTTTACCTGTTTTTCATCATAGAGTTCTTATCTAGAGTGATCATTTTCAACTATTTTTGTTCTGGCAGTCCCTTCTAACCCAACTGCCTTTCCCCCTAGCATTTGAGACAGGTTTTCAACCATGGACCAGTTCTCCTGGACCTTGTATAAAACCAATTTTAATACAGGTCTCAAAGGGACAGTTGATGAAGTAAAGGTTATTTTATATTTTAGAAAGGTCCACTACCCTTATAAACTTGTTCAATACTTAATTTTCAAAACCCTTTTCATGAATCCAGGAAGTCTCAGATGCAGCAAGACCAAAAACTAATACAATTAATAACACTGCGGTTTCAATACGCTCATCGAATAAGGTATAACCATTAATGATTTCAATATATCACAGCTATAACTTGCTTTGAATATTTTTCCTCTATGTCCTTATTTGGACTCTCTCTCCAAATCAATTTCTCATCTGTCCAACCTAAAGTAGACAGCTGTTCTGTCCTAGAACTTGACCGGAAATTAACTTCTGCTCATTATGTAATTCAAGAATAAGTGAAATTCAGCTACAGGTTAACTACCAATACTCACTAAGCAATTGACACATTATACTACAATTTAAATTTTATAGAGAATTAAAGGAACATGAACATTGGAAATGATACATGTGCACTGCTAGGAACTTGCCAGTGGAAAAAGTACCCCCAAATATACTGAGGTAGACTAAATGGTCTAGGCACTTTTGTTAGCATATATCTTCATATTGGGGCTAGAGCGATAGCACAGCGGGTAGGGCGTTTGCCTTGTGCACAGCCAGCCCGGCCAAGCCGGATTCGATTCCTCTGCTCCTCTCGGAGAGCCCAGCAAGCTACCAAGAGTATCTCGCCCACATGGCAAAGCCTGGCAAGCTACCCGTGACGTATTCGATATGCCAAACACAGTAACAATTGTCACAATGGAGACGTTACTGGGCCCGCTCAAGCAAATCGATGGACAATGGGAGGACAGTGACAGTGATCTTCATACTGAAAGAGACATGTGTCTTTATTCTCATGTTTCTCTAACCTTAAAGAGCATCACTATCACTTGGAAGACTTGATAAAGTCCTTATTCAAGGCTGCTGTTGGTCCAGGAATTTTATTTTAAGAAACTCAATGTAGCGGATTTCAGAGATTGTCAACTCTGACTATGAAGAAAGCAGGTACCCAGATAAGATTATTTCATTGAATACTGACCAGGGATTATTTTTTTATCAGAACATAATGAAATAACAGTGTGTGAAACAATATCATTCAAGAAACCATTTGGACTCTCTCTCCAAATCAATTTTTCATGAACCTCAAGACCATAGAGAATGGGACAGAAAGCCTGTCTTGCTAGTGGCTGACCCCAGTTCAATCCCGCACACTACAATTGCTTGTTTCCCTAGTGGAGCCAGGAGTAAACCAGCACAGACCAGGTATGGCCCCCAAATAAAAATCAACATCAAAAGTAGTTTCTTTCAGGCTTCACCATTTTAAACGTCTGAGGATTCCAATCTGAATCAAACTTGAAAGCTGCCATTCTAAAGGAACTTTAACAACTGGAACTAAAGTAATGTCCTAATGTCCAAACATTACAATAAGGTATAAAGACAGTGGCTGCAGCAGTAGCACTGAGGATCACCTGGAATGCAGCTGACTCTGGATTTGATTCCAGGCACTGCACACAGATCCTCAAGCACCACTGGGAGTGACTCCTGAGCAGAGTCACGATGGTTATAAAGATAGCTCCATCAGCCAGAAAAACACCCTTTGCCACTTTTCACTTAACATCTATCTACACTCCACCCTAAACAATCACTGTTATCTATTCCTATTAACTTCACTGTATGTGTGTGTATATATACACACACATACACACACACACACACACACACACACACACATATATATTCATCTTCTCTCTATATAGCTCTACTGCACTGTAGCACTGTCCTCCCGTTGTTCATCGATTTGTTCGAGCAGGCACCAGTAACATCTCACAACAAATTGTGAGATTTGTTTTTACTGTTTTGGGCATATCGAATATATCATGGGTAGCTTGCCAGGCTTTGCCATGCAGGCGAGAAACTCTCAGTAGCTTGCCGGGCTCTCCAAGGGGCGGAGGAATCGAACCCAGATCGGCCACGTGCAAGGCAAACGCCTTACCGGCTGTGCTATCACTCCAGCCCATATAGCTCTACATTATATAGAGATGTCATCTTTTGAGCCTAGCTTCTTTCACTTAACATAATGCATTTGAGATCCATCCAAGTCATGCCATTCCTTCATCTTACCAATACTACTAGGGCATCAGAAAAGCAGGAAAAATAACAGAATTAAGACTTTGAAAACTGAATGTTAGGGGGAACCAAACAATAATTTTAATCAAATTCTAAAATTAGCTATGTAATAGTTTTATTTTGGGGTTTGACAAATTATTGTTATAAGCCACTTCTAATAATTCTTAAATATAATTTTTACAATAAAGGTAAAGGTAAAGGTAAAGGCCCTCCCGTTGATCGTCGATTTGCTCGAGCGGGCCCAGTAACGTCTCCATTGGAGACTTTGTTGTTACTGTGTCTGGCATATCCAATACTCTCGGTAGCTTGCCGGGCTCTCCGAGAGGGGCGGAGGAATCGAACTCGGGTCGGCCATGTTGGCCGCTTGTAAGGCGAACGCCCTACCCGCTGTGCTATCGCTCCAGCCAATTTTTACAATAGTGACACCTTTTTAATGATTTTAGCAAGCTTCTTTTTAAATGTATTTTAAAATTTTTAAACATTCCCCAATTATATTTAAATGATCAGAAGCTAAGCCCCTCTTTCCAGTCAACAGCCATACTATTAGCAGCATTGGACACAAAATGCTAAATAATTTTCTTGTTGGACTTCAAATCTGCATTTTTACAAATTTTAACATGATTAGGAATAATAATAATAATAATAAGTAAAGGAGAGAATGTGCCAACAAAGTTTAACCTGAGGTTTCAAAACTCTGAATTTAAGATCCTTTTGAGGTTTTGTTTAGTTGGTAGTATGTTTTGGGGCCACACCCAGTGATACTCAGGTCTGAGCCTAAGTCAATTGCCCACCCACTGAACAAAGCCCCAGCCCAATCCTTTCACAGTTTTAAAACTGAAAGCACTAGGGAGCTGGAGTACTAGCACAGGGTGTAAGGCACTTACCTTGGATGAAGTTAAACAGGGTTCAACCCCTCCATCCCCAGCACCCCAGATGGCACACCCAATCCCCCAACCCAGACCCCCACTGCCCACCAGAAGTGATCCCTGAGACCCTGAGTGTGGAACTAAGAATAAACCCTGAGCATAGCCAGGTCTGATCCCGAAACAAAAAACCAAAACGTACCAAAGAACTATTTGTGAACATTAAATTCATCAGTAGTTACAACATTATCAAACGATAACATAGGAATAAAAATACTAAATAGTAGTGGCCATAGAGCTAGTACAGGGTGTAAGGTGTCTGCCTTGCATGAGGGCAATTCCAGTTCATTCCCTGGTATCTGTATGACCCCCAAACTGCCAGAAGTGATTCCTGAGTTCAGAGCTAGAAGTAACCCCTGAGCACCACTGGGTGTGGCCAAGAACAACAGAACAAAACAAAAACAGGTTCACTTCACAGCAGGTAAAAGGACTGAATGAGGTGTAGAGTCTAGCATAATGTCCAGCCATAGTCACTACTTAACAAATAGCAATCATTAGCAAATGTTATATGAAATAAAATCTTAGGGCATTTCATTTTAAAAAATGTATAATTTTGCTAACAATAAGAAAAACAGAGTTAGAGTAGTTCCCTAACCCTTCCTGAAGAGATACTAAAATGATGTGGATATTAGGGTTTGGTAAATTTATATTCTGATAATGCTAAGGGGGCATTTATTTTCATAACTATGTTGATTTTACATTCTCCATATCAATTAAAACAGTATGTATTTACTATATCAATGTGTTACGTCACAACATGGTATATAAGACATGTGCAAAACTGCTGGCAAACACAGTATGAACCAAAACAACGGGGCCTAATCATATCAAAGTCATTGTAATCTTCGCCACCAATCTCTTTGGAAAAATTTCACTTAAGATTGTGCTCAAGGAAGCAGAAAGTTAATTTTATTAAACATAAGGCTTTGGGTCTTTTAAATACTCCACGGGGGGGAAATGTGACATATGCATTGAAGTTCTACTGCATAGAAAGTTCTGATGACTAGCTCCAAAAAAACCATTTTGATACAACTGAAGCTCAAACAAAAAGCTCACACTTTCCAAGAATCATTTTTACTTGAAAGCACAGTGAATATGGTGTTTAGACTTGTGTTTTTGGTCAGTTTTGTGAAAATTAACCAAGGAAACCTATCACATTATTGGGGGGAAAAAAACTATGAATATTTGTTGCCAATGATAAAGTCCAATAAAGCTTTCAAATAAAAATCAGAACTTTGGACAATCTATTGATGGTTCTTAAATCTTATTTCTCAGCCAATTCTGCCAAGATCAGTGGTGACAGCAATGAATGTGATATTTTGGCATGTCATAAAATGTATTCATATTGGTAAAATCTTCATCATTCAAGGAAACTTACACTTACTAAAAGAACAATGAATCACTGTGTTATACAATGAATCACTGTGTGAGGGTGCTGAAGAAATAGTACCAGGGTAAAGGTGCAGTCAATCCGGGTTTGGTTCCCAGCATCACAGAATACTCCTCTCCCCTCCCCATCCCCTACTAGCAATATTACAAGGCATGGTTTTTGGAGGCCCCTGAGCAGCAAAGGGTGGCAGAGATAACCCCCAGCATCTTCGAACCAACAGTCAACAACACAGAAAAATCCCTAGAAGGGACCCACAGGCCTCCTGAATATCTCTTGGAAAGTACCACCCAGCTCATCACACCCCACCCCCACCCCCACCCTCATCACACACATACACACACAAAAAAAAGCATGCATGGAAGGGGGATCCATTTGAAGTACAGCAGAAACCAAGGAATTTCTGATATGAGACAAAAAAGTTTGTATATAGGATTTTAGATCCTAGTAAACATGAAAATTATATCTCAGTTTGAGTGTGATATCAAAAAACAATATCCACAACAATCTAAAGCAGGGTTTCCCAAAACTTCTTCCTGCTCTGCTTCTGAAATAAGGTATATGGGCAGAGGAGGTGGCAGTATAATAGTCTAGGTGCACTGGAGGATGGTTTTGTTTTTTTGTTTTTGTTTTTTGTTTTTTTTGCTTTTTTTGCTTTTTGGGTCACACCCAGCAATGCTCAGGGGTTACTCCTGGCTCTGCACTCAGGAATCATTCCTGGTGCTGCTCGGAGAACCATATGGGATGCTGGGAATTGAACCCTGGTAGGTCACATGCAAGGCAAACACCCTACCGGCTGTGCTACTACTTCAGCCCTAGTTTTGTTCATTTTAAGGAGCACAGATCTGGAGGTGGGGGCTCGAGAGGCCATCTTGCTCGAGAGGCCCTCCCGTTGATCATCGATTTGCTCGAGGATCTTGCTCGAGCGGGCCCAGTAACGTCTCCATTGGAGACTTTGTTGTTACTTTGTTCTTACTGTGTTTGGCATATCCAATACGTCCGGGGAGCTTGCCAGGCTCTGCCGTGCGGGCGAGATACTCTCGGTAGCTTACCCGGCTCTCCTGGAGGGGCGGAGGAATCGAACTCGGGTCGGCCATGTTGGCTGCGTGCAAGGCAAACGCCCTACCGCTGTAGGTGGGGGCATTGATTTTTTTTTTTTTGAAAAGGGTGCAGTTAATAATTCCGAGGACTCAAAAGACGGTATTACCAATTATCACTGAAAGATTTCCTTTACATACAATAAAATATAACACATCTCAAAAGATTGAATTTAGAATATGTAAGAATCTAATTTTTTAAAGCCTATATATTGACCCTATTCTAATATTCAGCTTCAAACTACTGAATTCCTTCTTTTTTGTTTCATTATAATACAACTAACCCAATTAGTAACTTTAAATGTGCTCCTTTCTTCACCTTCATCTACCCAAAGTATTCCTCAATTCCACTTTCTTCCAATATAATTTTCTATTCTCGCCTATTTGCAAAATTATACTTTGGTTTCCAGTACTTAAAATACCTACTCCACAAACTTTATTTCCCCACTTATCATTCTCAAATGGTCACACTTTGTTTTAACCTTCAACTCTTGGGCTTTTACTGACAGCTACCAAGATATTCAACTAGACCCTGATATCAATTATATAGTACTTCCTTTTTCTTCTAAACCAAATGACCATGGCCTAAAAAAGTCTGGGACCTCCCTTAAGTACCAGACTGGATAATTTTGAAGATCAGAGCCACACTTCAATGTTCCCATTTTCTCTGCCAGCACGGTCCAATGTTAAGGAAGTATTATTTTCCAGGAGTGAGAAGACAAGTTGTTTCGTTCCTTTGTCTTTCAACTGACATTAACTAGTTTACAATATTACAGAATTTCCACCTAGTCTCAACCTCTATATGCAGCTTAAAGAGCCACCCCTTCCACCACCACCCCCATCCCAATTCCTGGTGCCTCTCAATACCCTCCCTTTTATTCTGGTGACCACTTGAAGTCACTTTAAATCTAGGAATTAATTTCGTGTTTATCTGTTCCATAGTAATTCATAATCCACATATGAACAAAACCATCCCATAACTCTCTCTTTATTTCACTTAGCATAACCCCTTCAATGACCACCCATTTTAACCCAAAGACCATAACTTCATTTTTTTTTAACAGAGTGGTAGTCCGTGAAAGGTCTACACAACAGGAGAAGGCTTTTCCTAAATATTTCCTAAAGTATTTCCCTAAAACATTTGGTTCTTTAGAAACTCTGTTCTACAATCATTGCACATAGGTTTCGTTCGATATAATCAAGTAAAATCAAGTAATTCTGGCTTCCCAGAACTGATGTGTAAGTCTTGTTTCTTGTTTGCTTTCATAATGCCAAAAAGCCCCAGTAGGACAGAAAAAAAGGAACCGGAACTAAAACAAAAAAACAAAAAAAGACAGAAGAACTGGGGGAGGAGGGGTGGCTGCGCACATAAAGAATCACAAAACTGAATTTACTAATAAACACAGGACCCTCAACACGGTGTAGGGTCGTTTAAAAAGCACCGCAGACCATGCTCTGCTCCTGAAATAATGCAGGCAACAGAGGGACCAGAGATGGATGGGGCCTGGGAGAGAATCACCTGACACTCAGGTGTGCAACAGCTCGGTCCGGGCAGCGCCTTCCGCCCCGACCACAACAGACAGGAAAGACTGGGGCTGGAGCGATAGCACAGGGGGTAGGGCGTTTGCCTTGCACGCGGCGAACCCGGGTTTGATACCCAGCATCCCGTAAGGTCCCCCGAGCACCGCCAGGAGTTCACTCCGGAGTGCAGAGCCAGAAGTAACCCTTGTTACTTTGTTACCTTGTTACATTGCCGGGTGTGACCCAAAAATTAAAAAAAAAAAAAAACAGACTGGAAAGACAGATCTGGAGGCCAGAAACCACGACAAGGTGGAGCAACGCAAGAAGGTGGACGGAACAGAACCCTACGTGTGAGGAATGCGGGGAGAAAAAAAAAAAAACGTTTGGAGCTCCCAGCCATCCACGGTGCCCGGCGCCTTTCCCAACTTGGCCAAACTCGGCCTCCTGCAGCGGCCCTGTGGGGCCCCGCGACCAGCCGCACCCGGTCAACCCGGGGGGATGGGGAGTGGGGGAGGGTCTCCTCCGCCCCCTCCACACACACACCCCCCACTCCTGCCCGCCCACGCGAGCCCACACGGGAGCGGTGGCCGGAAGTCGGTGCCTCCCCGCGTCCACCTGCGCCCCGGCAGCCCGGGAGCGCCCCCCACCCCCAGCCCCGAGAGTCCCGGGCGGGGCGGGGCGAGGAGGGTCTCGGCAGTCCCGGCCCCTCCCTCTCTCCCACCCGTCCCAAACCTGGGAAAACGCCAAGCGCCTCCCCTACCAGGAGTAAAAGGCCGAAGATGCACCAGCCGATCACCAGGTCCGCCGACGCCGCGCCGGCCGCCGCCGCCGCCATCTTCGCTTCCGGCTCCCGACGGCCCCGAGGGCAGGGGGTGGGGAAGGGTAGGGAGGGGGGAGAGAAGGGGGAAGAGTGAGAGGGCCGCGGCCGCCGCGCACCCTAAAGGTTAAAGGGCCAGAGGGGCGGAGCTAATGGTTGCCAAGGAGACCCGGCCCGAGAGCGTCCCCTGGCGCTGGGGCGGGAGGGGGCGGGGCGCGCCACGGACGCCGTGACGTCATCCCGCGGCCAGGGCCCCGCGGGGAGGCGGTGTCTTGCCTGTCGCTAGGCAACGCGGCCTGTTTGGGATCTCCGATTGGGCCGAAAAGGATGAAGAACCCACCCCCTCGCCCCGCCCCGGAAGGGCCGAATGGAATGTCTCCGGAAATTCAAAACATCCTTCGAGGTTTCCACTTCTTCCGCGATGGAAGTTTACTAGTCAAGGCTATGTCATGAGCAGGACCATTGAGCACCCTAGCAGGAAGATGAGGAAGAAAAAAAACTTAACCCCTTGTCCAGATGACACAATTTGCTGGGTCCGGGGGCTCGCTTCTCTCAGGTCACCACTGCCTGAATTAACGTCTGGCCTTCTGTTTAAGTCTGTCCATGCCTGTGAATTTCCACAGTGACTTGACACCGAAGGGTATTTGGGTTTGTCAGCATGGTGTTTGTCAGCATGGTGTTACAACTCTTGTAATATCCGAAAGTAGGCCAGGCAAATACTGCACTATATCTTTAACGAAGCCCAAAGAGTCCCTAAGAGAGCCGCTTGTGTCTCTTGGCATATGAGTACGTACTTAACTGCAGAAGTAAACAAACACAACGTAGCACAGCTTTATTAGTTTTGCAGCTAGCTCCCTGTAATTTATTATGTGATGATAACATTCCCTACAAAAAGTCTACTTCATATTGGAATTCTGCAATGGGAGTGTCCCTACCCAGACAGAATAAAGACTGAAGTTCTAACGTGAATTAATACTGCCTTAAACAGGCGTAATAGCTCTCTGGACCCACAAGTGTTTCACAGAGATCTATCTATTCTATTCCAGATAGCCACTTGAATTTTAGCTTTAAGTCATTTTATTGTACTCTAAACGTCTGTATCTTCCTGCTAAATTCTTCTGATGGTCTTGGGCTTAGAGGTAAGATCTAATACAGGCCTAACAACTCTAGGCCAATTTTCCTTTCTCCCATTTGATCACTTTGATGTCGGTGGGCCCCACGGATGACATATGTGAAGTGGGGAGGAGAAAGACGGTCACTTTCTCCCCACCCGCCTCTGCCACCCGGGACCTGGGTAGGCTAGGACCGGTAAAGTCTGCAGTGAGCACCTGCTCGGCATGGGCCTAAGGCCCGCCAGCCCCACAAGGTGGCCGTCAAGCCACACCTGAAGTCCGCTTAATCTTCTCGGTTCGGGAGTTAATCCCCGCCACCCGATTGCTCGGGGAGCCACGGACTCAAGTTGGGGCGAGAATTCACTCTTTGCAGGAAAGGAGAGACCAGTCCCAAGCCTTACCCGAGGTTTCTGGGGTTCTTGTCTTGCTCGCAGAAAATAATTTCAGGAGTAGATGAGCAGTGAAGTAACAGGTTTTATTTGGAGGCTTTTGGAAAGGCAGAGAAAGGGATAAGCAGATAGTAAGAGAGAGAGAGTAACGCGTCCAGAGGGAACGCAGGCTTCTCCGAGGGTGGAGAGAGCGCCAAGTGGGCTCTCGAGCTGGCTCTTATAGATCCTTCTGACTCAGAATGTTCTGGAATCTCCTTGGGGCTGGGTCACTGGAATTAACCAGATTGAAAGGGGGGTTCGAGAACCTTCTGACTTGGAATGTCCTGGAATCTCCTTGGGGCTGGGTCGCTGGAGTTAACCGGATTGAAAGGGGGGTTTTCGGAAAGGAGGAATTTCATGGGGAGGAGGCCCATATCTTCAGGGTCTGGGGATGGTCTTATCAAGTCTTTATTCTCTGTGTCCACAGGGTGGGTCGGTCCTAGAATTCTTCTTCTATGAGACTTTGTTTCATTGCAGAGAGCCTTTCCCTATCTACCTTCCTACATCAACTTGACTTCCCATTAATCGTCGACTTGCAGAATGGGCGCCAGCTCGAGCTGCGCCCATAACGTCTCCATTTGTCCCTGTTGTGTGCTAGTGTAGCCCAATGGCGTCTGTTTGTTCTAGGAACATGAAGAGCCTCAAACCGATAGTTCATGATCTTGATGAAGAAGTCTGACCATGTGGTAAGTGGGCAGCCACGCGGTCTTTTGACATCCTGTGGAATCCAGTCGGTAACGGCTGTAGTCCAGCGGTCATATGTAAATCTCATTATGTGACCAGCCCATCTGATTTTTTGATGCCTTGGCAAACGAGAGACAGTTGACATTGCAACTCCGGATTCTTTCTCTCATTTGAGTGAAACGTGATACTCCAAGCATAGCTCTTTCAATTCCTCTTTGGGAGACCTGAATAGCGTTCTCATCCTGTTTCCTTTCTCCCACTTGATCCAAATCCCCAGAGAGAAATTGATAGCACATACACCAACCACCTTTAGGAGTCAGCTTCGGTATGAGAGTATTCTGGCTCCATCTCAAAGCAAACAGCCCTTTTTGGCTCTCCAGAGTTAAGTGTGTGTCATCTTGCACTGCAATACATTGTATGCGTCTCTAGAATCTTATTTCCAGTTCTCCAAGTACCTCCTTTGAGACATCCCTTACTAGGCAAATATCCCACCTAGTGGTTCCCCACACATACCCAGTCTTGAGGTTAAAGGTAATGAATGAAGGGGCCGGAGAGATAGTACAGCTGGTAGTGCATTTGTCTTGAATGATACTGACTCCAGTTTATTTCCTCCTCTCCTCCTATCCCAGGATCCCATATGGTCACCAGCACCTCCAGGAGTAAATTCTGAGCATAGAGCTCGGAGTAATCTCTGAGCACTGCGTCATGTGCCCTCCCCCCTGCAAAGTTCACAGACCACTAACAATTTTCAGAAAATCTAATCACCCCACTCTAATCATTCACTGAAATTTTTCTGACTTAGGGATCTAATAGTTATAGAATAGACTCTTACATTTCTCTTTGTTTTTGATTTTGAAACATACCTGGCAATTCTTAGGGCTTGCTCCTGGCTCTGGGCTCCATGATAATTCCTGGTTGGTTCTGGGAATCATATGGGGTACTAGGAATTGAACCAGGTTAGCTGCATGCAAGGCAGGTACCTTTCCCACTGTTCTATTCTTCCAGTCCCATATTGCTCTTAAATTCTGCGTGTGAAGTTTAGAAGGAAACAAAGTATTAAATAACGTATTCTTCCCTACCTCTATAGATTTTGTGTAAAATTGAAACTTTTACTAAGCTGAATTGAGCCTTTTAAAGTTTGGGTATACCATTAATGAGAATTAATTTCATTTAATAAGCTGATATCAAAATTTTTGTACTATTGGGAAATTACTTGATTTTTCAGACTACAAAAGCCTTACAAACGTGTTATTCACTAGCGCATCTAGTTAGAATAGTAGCTTGAGTCAAAAATTGGGAGAGGAGGGAACAAAAAATGGTCTGAGCAGGTAGAAATGTGCATATCAATGCATTTTTTCATTTCAGGACATACTATATCTAATATATAGATATCTGTATGAACCTGGAATACATTGTCCTGAATGATGTTCTTAAGATGCTGATTACAGATCATTTCTTTTTAAAAAAAAAATAAAAACCATTATTATTTATGAAAATAAGGTTAATACACTTTCATTTAGAAACTTTCCAAACATAAATAAATTCTCCTCTAACTTCTCTAATACCTCTGTAACAGAAAGTGGATCTAACTGGATATTAAATCTATTGGTACCTTAATCATGGATTTCCTAGGCTCCAGGACTGTAATGAAAAGAGAATTCTATTACTTGCAAGTCACCTAACTTATGGTGTTTTGTTACAGTATTCCAAATAAACTAAGATACCAGATTTAAAATGCCTTCATCTTCCATTGAACTTAACAATTCATAGAAATTCCAGGACTTCTGTGCAATCCATTCCATTTTATATTCAAAGAGATGGCTATCTGTAGCTAATCTTTCCCAAGCGAAGTTAGTAAGAAGAAATGTTGCAGAAACCTCTATCAAAATCCAGACCTCACTGACTGAAAATAGTCTTTGAAAGAGAGTCAAGTTAATAACAGCAGCTAGCATTCCTTTACTCTATGCCCCTCAACTTTGAATAGTTCTTCCCTAAAGTCAGTGGGAGGGCAACATATAAGGGAATAATTTATAAGAGTGAAGGGTACTGTAGCACTGTAGCACTGTCCTCCCAATGTTCGTTGATTTGCTCGAGCAGTCCCAGTAACATCTCCATTGTGAGACTTGTTGTTACTGTGTTTGACATATCGAATGCTCCACGGGGAGCTTGCCAGGCTCTGCCATGCGGGCGAGATACTCTCGGTAGCTTGCCAGGCTCTTCAAGAGGGGCGGAAAAATCAAACCTGGCTTGGCCAGGCCAGCTGCTCACAAGGCAAACACCCTACCACTGTGCTATTCCTCTAGCCCTAAGAGTGAAGGGCATGACCTTAATTTTACAGAAGAGCCAGTATCTTTATGTAAGTGCTGAGAGTAACGTACTCACAAAGTACCTGTTGCTGGACTACCATAAAAAATACCTTGCTGGTAAGTATCTTGGTGCAGAAAGGATATAGATGGGCTTTTCACCATTCTCTTCCTCGCCGCACATGACTCCATTGAGTTCATGCTGAAGACTTTGATGAGCTGCTTCGAAGGAACCCCAGCCCATCCCTACCCTAATTACCCCCTCTCATTTCTTTTTTTAAGTTAATTTTTTATTGTACAACAGAACAAAAAAAATACACACCTAGACATATTGTTTTAATTTTGAATTAAAATAACTTCTATCTGCTTGCTTAGAGAATAAATTTAATATAAAATCAAACAGAACCATGACTCCTTTCATTTCTAAGGAGGGTTAAAATGAGATATAAGACAACCCCTATTTGAGAAAGGTTACCTGGGATATATTGTGGCCTAGACCAGAAAATGTGGATAGATGAATAAATGTAGACAGCAATTGTCCAGTTGTGTCCTAAAAATTTAAATAAATATAAAACAGGCTGAAAAAGTTATGCCAGTAGGGCCCAATGACAAGTCAAGAGAATAAAGAAAGACTGTAGGATAGAGTCCTAAGTAGAGAGCAGTGGATGAGTCAGGAGCAAGCAAGACTTAGGG